CAATTAAACAGTAGCAATGGCACAAGCTTGAGATTGCAGTAAAAAAAAAAAATTACTCAACCTTAATACTTAAAATGGTGAACTGTGGAGTATGTAAAGTTTCTCTTTCTCTCTGTCTTTTTCTCCCCACCCCCACAACCATACTAATGATTGAACTCAGAGCCTTTCACTGAGCTACCTCCGGACTCTTTTCATATCTGTTTATTTTGCTCACTAAGTCGCTAAGTTTCCCAGGCTGGGCTTGAATTTTCAATCCTCCTGCCTGCACCTTCCACAGTGGTGGGACTATAAGCATGCACCATCACACCCAGCTTATTTCAATATTTTAAAAAGCAATTTCTTTCTCATAAAAGAATTTCAGTGGCAGAAGAAGGTAAAACTATTATCAAGCTTCTGCATGTTTATAAGCATATTTGTGCTAGAAATTTGGTAAACTACAATATTTCTTAAAAATAATACCTACACTTCATTAGGAGATAAACATCTTTTTTCTGTTTTCTATAAACAGTTTAAATTGCAGGGAAAAATGATAAGAAATGTATAATTTAAAAGGCAGAACCAAGTGTCAGAGGGTAGATTATATAGGATAGTTATCTTACATCTGGGCCAGGATGACTCTTTGCTTATCTCTAGGAATGCCTGAGATTCTGGCACTGACTCATAGCCAAGATAAGGACAGTGTAGTGATGATTTATGATGCACTGTTTAAACTTCAAATTCTTCTGTTAGCAACCAGGACCAGTTTATTTATTGATAACTTATACCTAGTATAACCAGTTAGACAGCCTGGCTTGACTACGTGACTAAGAAAGACATGAAAAAATCTTTCTGGAAACTTTAAGTACCTTTCCCAAAACAAAGATTTATCATCATATAATTCTGGGCAATTCATCCTGGAAGCAAAGTACCTCCTTTTACAAATCAGAAAGACAGTAAGGAGCTAAACTTGGATGTTTCTTGGAGTTCTTATGGTCCTGTTCTATTATATTCTTTTTTGCTTTTATTCAGTTTGCTCTGGGAGGCCTTGTAACACTTTCAATGATCTAACCTAACGCACTCTTTGCGTGAGTAATATATCCCATATTGCAAACATTTTTACAACAAATAAAAGAAAGTTCTATTCCAGTGAGCTTCTCAAAATCTCGTGGAAAAAAATTAAAGCAGAGAGTAGTTTCATCCATAGGGAACATCCCAGAAGTTGTTCTTGGGGGGAGGAATGCTAAAGAAAAGAGAATGTGCCCCTTCCCAAACCTGGGCTACTGGGTTGTTCAATTAAACCATCAAAATTGGTGCCTTCTACAGACAAGGATGTAAGAGGTACATCTGTGGAAGAGAAGCTTATGTTGCAGAAGAACTTTCTCAGCAAGCCCTGGAAGCAATGGTCAGGCAGCCAATCCCAGAATCTAACAAACTACTCTAGCATACCCATACCACCGATCCCGAGATTCCCATGCTGCAAAATCACTTCAGCAAATTCATAACAGTCACCCTCTGATAATATATGGAGAGAAAAAGATTTGGAGTCGAAATTTGCCAGAATAATCCTGGAGCCTGAGCACAGATTTCAAAAGGTCAAAATCTCAAAGATCTCCTACACAAACAATTCAATCAACTCCTATAAATGACAAGTGTCATTTCTGTGGTTGTGCATACCTATAATCTCAGCACCCTGGGAGGCTCAGGCAGGAGTGCAAGTTCTAACCCAGCCTGGGCACTTTAGTGACTTAAGTGAGACCCAAAATAAAAAATAAAAAGGGCAGGAGATGTAGCTCAGTACAAAGGCCCTGGGTTCATTCTTCAGTACCAATTTTTAAAAAATTAGGGAGATTAGTTTCTAGTCTCTTTTAAAAATCTTTTTCTTTTTTGCACTTCAACTCAAAGAATAGGATGTAGTCTTTTCCCTGACAATGATAGATAAAATAGATGTCCCATATAAATTATACCTCAGTAATATAGGTTGACAGAACAGATCAAATGATTGTATAATACATCTAGATATTTAAATGCACCAAGGCTGATTCAGTGGTTCCATCATTGTTTTGAGAAGAGCTTATGATGAACAGTGTACCAATTCGCAGGATTCCATTAGGGTGAGAAACAGTGAACCTGAGGCCGTAACTTCTCCGACCACCATCCCAAGTATTGCTGGCAAAGAAAAAACAGTTTACCAGTAGCTGCCTGAGAATGAGCCAACATTGAAGTAGAAAGACTTTTAGAGCTTTTATCAATCACTTTCCAACCATGCAGTACAAGATTGGAGTGTTGCTTTCATAATAAATCTTCAAAATATATCACAGTAAATATTTAAAACTCAGGGATACTTAGACAAAGACTACAAAGAGCAATGTTGTCCAGATGGTAGAAGACTGATACAGTACTTAATTTTCAGTTTACCCACTATTTTAAAATTTTTTGTTTATGGTAATAAGTCTGCTTATTTCTAATAAAGCTGATAGGTTTTAGTAGTCCTATTTTGAGATATCTATGGACTTTTTTTTAAAACAAGGTCTCATTATGTAGGTTGGCCTAGAACTCATTAGGTAGCCCAGGCTGTGGTGTTATTTTTTTTTTTAATGACTTTTTGTAAAAAAAAAAAAATTATACTCAAGTGTGAAATTACTGTATTATTAAAGAATAAATATTTTCAGTTATATTTATAAGAATTTTTCATAACTTAAAAATAATCAGTTTTCACTACATAATTTGTTTCTGTTTCAGAAGACTAGCCTTGCTGAAATACAAAATAGTTTAGTATTTGTGGAAAAATCAAATGCCTCAAATCTTATTCCAGGCTGTTTAATGCATTAAATTCTCAAGTGCCATCTAAAAGTATTTGACCTCTTAAACTCAGCTTTTATAGACAACAAAAAAGCAGGACTTTACTATATGTACAAGGCCAAGAACAATGAAAATAGCCTTTTTATACTTTGATATTACAGATTTTTCTCATTTCTATTCTTAAAGTTTTTAAAGATATACTTATTTATTTTAAAGGAGATCACAGGTCCTGTGAATGTTTTACATCATTCCTTGGGTACTAAGGAGCCATCCAAACTGATGGCAAGTATGGCTTATACGGAATCAATAGATAATAAAATTGATTTGTTTTCCCCTTCTTGCCTTCATCCCTCCTTATACTACATCAACATATGGCTTTCTCAACTTTTCCTTTATAACATCACTGAAAAACTATTTCAGAACTGACATAAAGATTGTTTTGTCCGGAGGAGGGGGTGAAGGGAGGGCAGGGGTAAGGGGAAAAAATGAGAATCAAGACTTGTCATGTAGAGGTACAAGATCCCAACAATGAATGTAACTGTACTGTATCCCTAAAATGTACCAATAAACTCAATTAAAGCTGAAAAAAAAAAGATTGTTTTGTCCTCACTTAGAGGAACATTCACTGCAGGACAGCTCAATGTGGTAGGGCAGAATCGGACTTATGTGATTCTCCATGTTGCCCCACACACCAGCTGCTTCAGTGTGATGGTCAGGATATAGAAGACTTGTGTTGTCATATCTTCCAGAAGTTCCCTTTTATTTTGGGGGAATATATTCCAAAACCCCAGTAGACACCTAAACCTGAAAATAGTACAGAGTCCTATGTACACTATGGGTGTTTTCCATACATTTTATTTTTTTATTTTATGTATATTTTTATATATAAACCAATAATAAATAGAACAATTATAACAATATATTATAATAAAAGTTTTGTGAATGTGGTCTCTCAAAATATCATATATTGTACTGTACTTTTGGACAGTGGTTAACCACAGGTAACTGAAACCTCAGAAAGCTAAACAACAGAAAGCTGAACCTCAGGAAAATAGGGACCAATAGTCACTCAATATTTCTATTATTTCCACAGTCTTCAACATGGGATAAAAATGTAAAGCCCCCTAGATCTTTTGGAGCCATAAAGGAGACTGACTCTGTATAGGCCAGCAAGAATTAAAAGGCCAGAAATCTAAACAGCAGATGTGACTTTCTAAAAGACAAAACTATTACCTTAATTTGTAGAATGAAATATGTTCCCTGCTGTCATCTCCCAGGGAATCCTCACGTCTTCCAACTCAGAAAAAAATGGAGTTCAGCTTACTTGCAAGCACAACTAGATTACTGATTCTTCACTCATTCTCTACTGCCCTAATGTAAAGTTTGTACCATTCTTATTGGTTAGAAAGAGTTAAGATATAAATTATTTTAGAATGCGACTGACCAGGATATAAATGGGCAGTAAATTTACCACAAACAAATAATTTTTTTTCAGTATTGTGGGTTGACCTCAAGGATGCTCTATCACTGAGCTACATTTCCAGTGCTTTTTTTTATTTTAAGATAAGGCTTCATTAAATTGAGCAGATTGAACTTCTAATTCTCTTGCCTCTGCCTCTCAAGTAGAAAGGATTATGAACATTGTTATCATATCTGGCTAAGAACAAAAATATTAACCATGATAAAATATGAAAGCAAAAAAGACTTTATTTTGGCAGGAAACTCATTACTTTTAAAATATATGGAATCTCCTAAAAATAGTAAGGATTTTAAAGATTGAACTTCTATATTAATCTGAATAAAAGCTGTCCCTATTATCATTTTCTTCAATATAAAGTATCTGTAGATTATATAATTAATCATATAAAATGAATATAGTAATATGTAAAATACTCTTGAATTTTTGTAACATCTTGGATATATGCTTCAAAGAAAAGGCAAAATCCTTTAAAAGTACTATAAATTTCAAGATTTCAAACTATAATTCATTTAAAATAGATTGTATTACATTTTATTAGTAGTAGTAAAAACATAATGTAGCATGGTTTTTTTATAAAATGCTACAAAGTCGAAGTGTTCCAGTTAAATCCATAATATCAAAATGTCATTTATAGTAAAATTTTAGCTAATGCGTTAGATCCATAGCAAAGAGAGAAAGTATGTAAAATATTTTATATAATATCAACAATAACTGTAGAACTTGCACACAACTTAAAATGTGATTACTTAAAGTATGGATTATAAATTCTTCTAATTTTCATGGAGACAGATTTAATCTTGATTGGTGAATTATTTTTAGTCCACGTGCCCCATTGAATTCCACTGGCAAGCAATTTTCCAGGAAAGTTATGGATGCCATTTAAATTTGCTAGACCACACTGGTTGAACCACCAGCCCGTGTTGTTACTGAGGTGACTGCAGCTCTTCACAGATTGACCATTGATGAGGCATGTAGAGAGGCACCCATCATTGTCAACATCTGATGTGCTGAAAGGCATTGCATTTTGATTATCTTCTTTTCTGAAGCCCCGGAATGCATCACCTGGGTAAAATAGATTTTCTTAAATAACTGAATTTAGAGATAATTTCTGTTATTTTAGGCAACTACTGCCACCATAATTTTACAAAAGCATCACAGCTAGAAACAGTTTATTTTTTAACATGTTTATTTCTCTCCCACATAGATTGCAATATGCCAAAATCCAGTGATTAATTGTTTAATACAATAAGCATCTCTTGGATATAAAAACCAAGTATAAATGTAGCTGTGTAGACAAAATCAAATCATTTAGACCAAAAATAAATGTGTACAGACTTGTCATGCTTTGAGGTGATCAATAAAGTGATTAGGAGCTAAAATAACTTCCAGGAACTAGTATGACAGGAGAGGTGGGCCTAATGCTCACCAAGAGATAATTTTTCTTTCTTTCTGCAGCTGCCCCAAAATGAAAGACACATATTGCATGTATTTTTTTAGAGAGAATATAATTTTCCAACATCTGCACAGTGCAACACCTTTCAAAAGTTCGAGTGAGTGAAGCACCATCTATGAATTATTACCTAAAATTTGTGATCACCCCATGAATATTCTCACTAGGTGAAATCCAACCATCAGAAGGATCATACATTATACAGATTCCACAGTGGACTTTATTTAACAGCTCATTTTTTTAAACTTTTATTTTAATTAGCACATGTTTGCAGTATGTAACACTTATGATCATCCTGGAGAGCTGGTACATGTACATATCTTAATTCTTTTCCTCATCCCCTTCCTTTTCCTTCCTTCTCTACTTCCTCCATCTCTAAGTCCCCTTCCCTTTTCCAAAAGATATATCTTCCTATTATCTTTTTTCTTCAACTTATTTATATTTTGGGTTCCTCATATAAAAGAAACTATGAAATATTTAAGCTTGTCTGCAATTGATTTTACTTAACCTTATGGTCTCAAATTACACCCACATTTTCCCCATGTGTTGAAATATATATATATATATATATAT